CCGGTGGCGCCAGGGTGGGGCTGCTGAGGAGAGCGGGGAGGGCTGGCCTGGGCCCGGCGCCCATCAGAGCCTGCCTGCTGGGAACCGGGGGAGCGTGACCCCATCCACTCGTGAGGGGCTTTGCTGTTGTTTGTGCGGACGGGCTGCTGTGAGCCGGCCCCAGGCAGCCCTGTGCCCTGTGGAGGGACCCACTGAAGCAGTCAGCGCATTTGCTGCTGTCCAAAAATATCTTTCTTCCCACTCCAGTTGGCATCTCCTTGATTTGTACAGTTCCGAACACTCGGGGTTGCTTCCTGGGTTATGCCTTCAGGGTACGTCCTACTTGAGGGATAAGTTTTATTCCCAAACGCTATAACCATATGTAACAAAAAAATCAGGAGCTCAAGACTTTAATTTTAATGTTATATGACTTAATTATTGTTCTGTTGCATTAATTCTATTAATGTTCTCTTAAAGAAGCACAGTCACAAATTGGAGGGGAGGTATGGAGATTTTTTGGTAGATCTAAGTAGGTGTGTTGGGCTATAAGGATCTGACAAACAGCAACTTTTTCTGGAAAGGTTTTTTTTCCCTCTTTCAAAATTTTTCATGGAAAAAGAAAGATTGAAGTCTTCCAATGATAAAAGAGCTTTATCAAATTTAGAACTAAATTAAAGAAATCTACGTAGTTGGCTTAGGGCACAAGACTTAGCTAATTCATATTGACAAAATTAATTTTTGTATGACGACATACAAGCTCTACTGAAACGCTTCATTTGAACAAAAGAAATATAGAGAACTACTGCTCAAACTGACTATTTTTGTAGTTAATTTCTTCTTCTTTTTTAACAGGAATATTTACTTACCAAAATGAGACACAATCTGGTGTGTCAGACACATCCTACTGCCACTGTTCATGTAAAATCAAGTGCATCCAGATCACATCAGCAAAAAAACCTTATTAGACTAAAGCGGCCTACTTTTAAAGACCATGACGAAAGTTGTGGGAAAAAAGTTCCTAGTCATAAATATAAATGTCCCAAGGGACCATGTCTAATTATTCAGCGTCAGGAAATGACAGCTTTCTTCAAATTATTTGGTAGGTCAACAATGACAGATATCAACATAGTGACTGAACAGTAGAAAACTATTGAGCAAGTATGTTTTCTAAACCAAATAATTTTGGCAGGGCTTTTTATATAGATATGAATGGTCATGTCTTTGCCTAAACGTATTTTGTTGTTGTATTTCATTGTATAAATACTTAATGCTTAAGTTAAAAATACAAGAAGGGCTACCAAACTGATGAAAAGCATCCTTTTAAATTACAAATGAAACCAATATGGTATGATACTTCATTTTATAATAATTTCCCTTTCCTTTCTATTTTCTTTTATGTTTCAACAAATACATGTAAAACAATGTGTATCTTGTTTTGCACAAGGCTTAAAAAAGGCTGGACTCCCAGTCTTATAAATGTGTTATTTACTGTGGGAAAACAGGGGGAGAAGTGGAATGGGAAGAAAATCTGAGGAGTTGCAGTATCTCTTTTGCATTTGTGTCTCTCTCATACGAAGCTTTGTATTAATTTAGTAGGAGATTAAGTAATAGTGGAAGAGTACTCTTGGGTTTTATTTGAATTTTGACTACAGAAGTGAATCAGAGAGAGTTTGCAGTAATCCTGTTATAGTACATGTTCACAGCCTATGATACACTGACCACAAATCATCAAGCAAGTATTGTCTTGTAAAGGCTGTCAGGCAATCAAGGGGCAGAGATCTCAGCAGTCCGTGGTTCATCAGAAATAACGGTACACTATCAGATGGAACCACGTAATGCAGGAAGAAGTTGCATAAATAGAGAAAAAGTCCTGGTGATTTTTCACCTTCACTGGCTATTACTAAGGAAGAATGAAATGCAGTCACTGGATTTTCCACCTTGCCTTTCTGGTAGTTTGTCTTCTCTGTCTTTTCTTGTTGCTTAAGTTTTCTCATACCTAATCTCTTTCTCCCCTCAGTTACTTTGTTCTCTGTTTGTGGGTCTCGCTTCTTTCCTTTTAATAAAAGGTCCACCATTCATCTATAAACACTTTCTAACAAAACCAATTTTGGTGTTTGAAATGCTACACTTGCCTTCTCTTGCAGATGATGATCTAATCCAAGACTTTCTTTGGATGGACTGCTGCTGTAAAATTGCAGACAAGGTAAGTGTATTTCCTTCTCAGTTAACAGAACATATATTGAGTCCAAAATCTGCCCTTAATCAATTGATACTGTAATGCAAATATAGACCACATTTTTTTTTTCTGATGTGTTCATATGGAAGCTTCAAGAAACTCAATTTATGCTTTCCTCATTGATAAAAATGATCAAAGTATCTTGGCGCAAGAAAAATGCACAAAGCATTTTAGGAATTATATACTGAAATAATATATTGATACTTCATTTTACAACAGTATCTCTTGGCAATGACTTTCGTTTATTTCAAGAGGGCTAACTTCACAATAAACGAGCACACCAGAATGAATTTCTTTGTCGCTCTGTAAGTACTTTTAAATTATCTGTTTTTATTAGCATAATTTTTGCATTATTTTATTCCTTTTTTTGTGCCACTGATAATTATGATACGTGATGAGACTTCTTTAACAAGTGTGTAGTTGTTTGGGTTCTGTATGAAGTACAGAAACATAACCTACATGCTGTATGTAAATAGTGCAAATCCAGCGTTCTTCCTCTGACCACCACCTGTGTGGAACAAGCTACAGCAGCAGTAAGGGGACGTTTGCCTTGGTGTAGTGATACACAGCCTGGCATTCTGCCCACCAAACTAAACCTGTGAACTGTTTTAAGCATTACAAGAAATATATGCAGGAGGATCCATGGCAACATATCCGTGGCTCGCACTTCCTGTTACAAGACCCTATTTTACATCTTTGCCAGCCTTTAAGTGTTTTGTACTGAAATGTTTTATCATGACATGCTCCTCAGGAGTAACTTTTTATTAAAGTTTCCCTCAAATTGATGTAAGTCAACTGTAGAAATGTTGCTAGAGAATTTCCGAGAACTTTTTTGAACAGTTTTAAAATTTCTATACTTTGAAACAGAGGTGCAATCAGTAATCTATCTTTACCAAGCCTATATACTCTCTCCATGTTCGGCTATACCGACAGAGTGAGTCAGCATTTTCTTTCATAGTGTTAAGGTGCTCAGGTCATGTTCTTCTGTAATAGTGCCTCTCAGACGCTCTGATTTGCACGCTAGTGTGGGCAGGAAGATGGCTGTTTCTTCTCCTGTAAATGGTATTCTGGGTGGCACCCCTGGAGCATGGAGGAGGAACCCATCTGACTCCACCGAAGGGAGAAAAGCCAGGCCAGAAGAAAGGGACAAAGGGTCTGGTGAGACTGGGACTAGAGGGGATATTTGGGCTAGGAGCGAGGGAGAAAACTGGGGAGGGGACTAAAAGTCCTAATTTCTTCAGGCGTGATTTACAGTTTAGTATCAGGCAGCTCCAGAGGAAGTAAATATTTTCCTGTTGTCTGAGAAGACGACCCAGAACAAAGGTAGCACATAGTGAAGGAAGGCAGAAATATGGACATGAAGAAAATAATTTAAGGTTTTCATTTATACGTGGAAGTAGACCTGTATTTAGTTGTTTGCTGCTAATTTAATGTGAGCAACATAATTTTCCAAGAATAGTTAAAATCCATGAAGCAGGAAGTGTAAAGTTTAAGATTTCCTAAGGTAGTTTTAAGCTTTATTTAGAGAATCAGTCAGAAACTGTTCATTTTAGTGCAGGGATATCTTGCCAGTTTGGAGAAAGCTGTCATGATATGATATGTCAGTTCTTGCATATCTACTAACTTAGGAGATTTTAGGGTAAAGCACTGTTAAGTTTTTATTTACCCAAAGGAAACACATGCAACTTTCTGATTAAGAAAACTCCAGAGAGAAGGCTGTATTTGGTCAGCAATATTTGAACAACTTCAATACTATGTCTTTTAATGTTAGAATTCATACTAATGTGGTGATTTAAGATTGAACATTTACAGACAAACATATATGTTTGAAGGTATCTGGCAAACACAGTTGAAGAAGACGATGAAGAATCAAAGTATGAGATTTTCCCATGGGCTTTGGGAAAAGCCTGGAGACAGCTCTTTCCTGATTTCCTAAAGTTAAGAGATCAGCTGTGGAGCAGAATTGACTACAGGGCTATCGTAAGCAGACGCTGCTGTGAAGAGGTAGGGAGGGTTTTAATATTGTAGATGCTGAAACTACAACAATTAGTACCAGCTAACAACCTAGCTCTATACAAATGATGTCTTCCCTGAAGTGTGTGGACAAGCCATGGGAAAGATGCTAAAATGTAATGGTCTTTATCCTCCATGAGATTTTTTTTTTCTTCTGCATTTAAAATACATTCTTTGAAACTACACTGTTAAGGCAAACTAGAATATTTTACATTGCACTACTGTTAAAAGCAATTTTTTTATTGACTAGAATCCTTCTGCTTTATACAAACATTTTTATTTATAATTTACCATCAGTTGTTTCACTTTATTCACTTTAGGAATAATTTGTGTGCATTTGCTTTACAAATTATAAGTTTGTACAAAAGTAAAAAGTGCAAATAAAAATCCCACCACCTCAGGTGAAATTTTAATCCCTTCAAAATTAACAATATAACTTCACTTGACTCTTTAGGGGAAGAGTTTTTCACTGCATTTTTAAAAACTCAGAAGGACACACTTTTAACACTTTCTACCATCAATGCAGTGTTACAACTGACATTTTTCAAATATTAGAAGGGAAAAAAGACATTCCTCACTTTTCCCGTAGAATGTATCTGTCTGGAAAAGCCCTGTCATGTTCTAAGAATATAATGTTTACTAGAGCTTGTAGAAAAGAAAATCTTATTTATTGTAGATTCCCATCTCTGGGGATGGGATTGGGTGCTGACGGGAAAAGTGCAAGGAACAAGGCAGGTGTAGAATGCTTTTCCCAGCACCCCCGCCCTGCTTCCAACGGTCATGAGTTCAGTGACGTGAACCAGAAGATCCAAGTAGATGATGTTGGTTGTTAGTAAAAGACACTGTCTTCAGTCCAACATACAAAGCATAAGCTGGTATTTGTGATGGTTCACATGAATGTACAAGACTGTGAACCGTTGTTTCCACACCCGATTCATGACTGGTTCACTTGCTCATGCCTAAGGCGGCACAATTTCTAGCGAGACAGAAGCAGATAGGTAATAGACGATGCCCATTTCAGTTATGTATTATTAATTCTCTGCCACACATGAACTGTATCCCTTGTTTTCAGCTGCGTGTTTTCCTGTTATTTTTATGGTTTCTGATGTAATGGCTGTTGACAGGTGATAGCTATTGCTCCAACACACTATGTATGGCAGCGAGAACGTTCTATGAACCACAGCGGAGCTGTGAGAAACTACGATAAAGTACAGCTGCCCCGAGGACCGAGTGCTACTCCTGCAGACTGCCTGCTTTGTGGTAAGAAAGGAAGATTTGTACGACTCGGATTATCATCATCTTCCTCCTCATCTACTGGCACTTTGGAGATGATGGAATTACATTCATCCCAGAAATTGAACGACACCTTTCCAACTGAAAAAATGCTCGTAGAGTCTCCTTTTTATGATGCCCAAGGTATGGTTTAATATTGCAAATAATTTTCAGTTGGTTTAGGCAACTGAGGCTGTATTTGCCCTTCAGACTGCTGTAGGGACCACCGAGTCCTTCTTGGCATGACAAAGCCCGATCTCTCTGTGTGAGCAGACATCCCTGTTACAAGTGCAGCTATGCTGGCAGAACCATGCTTTTACTGCCATGAATACCATTTTCAAATCTTGTCTCTTAGACTTCCTGGAAGCACCAACAGCTTTGTACTCAGAGCCTCTTCAAATTACCTTCATGTACTACAGTAGATTTTGGGTTGCATTCCAGTCTATTTAGGCATTTATCACTATTCTTACATTATAAATTAAATTGAGAATCCTATTTTAAACACTTAAGATTGACTAGAGGAAACAGTAAAAATACTGGTGTGTGTTATGTCAGGCAAAAGGTGTGTTACATGAGTAGAAGTGCTCTTGTTGAGAACAGCTCTTAGAAAGGGCAGGCTGCTTAGTTGCTGTCATGTTTGGACATACGTTAAATCACAATTCACATTTTCCCTTAAGTGTACCCCAATTGTTGACTGTTTATACAAGATTTCCTTTTAAGATGGGGGTATAAGTAGAAAACAATACAAGAGTTTATTGTGAAAATTGGTTTATGCAATCGAATCGTTGTACATTAATGTACTCCAAGTAGTGTTCTGAACTTTGTATGAGAAGCCTCCATCACATACAGCAGTTATGGGGCAAATGCTTGTTGTTTCTTATTCAGAGTGGAACATATGTGAGATGTAAACTTCCTGGGAGAGCTGTGTAAGGCCACAGCTCTGCAAAGATACTTTTATGTGCTTAACTGCTGCAGAGTTCTTAGTATACTCATTTAATAGAGGCTTACAGTTATTTATAGCTCTTTTTTATTTGCACCTGTTCCCCCTAATATCCAAACTTTCACTGTTATAGTAGGGTTGTGTTACTGCTTTTGACAGCTTTGGTACGATTGTGATTCTCAAGAGATCCCTCAATTTTGAAAATTTGACATTTGACTCTTTCTTGACATACTGAACAAGTCAGGTGTCTACACCAGTTCATTTAATAAATGTAATGTGTTAAACATCACCACGTGCTTACGCAAAGACTCATGTGAGACATTAAAAGAGTTAACTTAAAATCAATTTTTACTTGAGAGATCTTGCTTTTCATATCTGATAAAAGTCAGAAAAAATGGCGCTTGACTGTTTGAGAATGCTTTATATATAGTAAAGTTCACAAATAACCAGGCACCTTTCAGCATGGGTGCTGGAAGTGAACCAAAGCCACACATGTCAACAACTGGTCATCTTCTTGAAATAAGCACAGCTTTATCAAGAGAACAAATTCAGTGGATTTCAGTTTCTCTTACAGTTGTGCTTTGAAGAACATTGTTCTTAAAGAAACTGATAGCCACCAGCTGGTAGCCAGTGAAGTCAGAAGCTGTCTCACTTGCCTTCCGAAGATTCATTATTTTCTTACTAAATTTTTCCCTCCATATTTCTGGCAGACTGTCAGAGCCCATCCAGCAAAAGGAGACCAGACAGCACCTTGTACCGAGACAAATCCATGGACTGGTTTACAAGCAATGAAGAATGAAATACACGCGATGAGACGGAAAGGGATACCTTGCTTTGCGGAACAATCTGTGTTGCATCACACCACCATACTTGAGGAGTCTGTTAAAACTTTTCCCTTTAAACAGTAGGTGGGATTTCAAACTTTCTGCGCAGCAGAAGTCAAAGCAGTCATTATTAAAAGTTACACAGCTTGCAAAATGTAGCAGCTACTTTGTAATGTTTTATTTTATTCTGATACAATACTCAAATTAGCAGCCAACATCTCAGCAGCATCAAGAACGCAGTGGTCGAAACTTTCTCAGCTTGGTAAGGAATGCTAATTAAAAAACAAAACAAGGTACTACTTCAGTATTTCAGTATACAATGATTATTTTATTATTGTAAGTTTTATGATTTCATGATATAGTAATATGAGAAATGCTACTACAAAAAACAGTATTAATAAAAACAAAACGCTACTAAACATTTAAGACAGAAAAAATGTTCCAAGTGTCTCACCTGAATGAGCTTCCTGCCAATAAGACGGTCTGGCAACGTAAGGCACTGAGCAGTATGTTTCAGCATCATCAGAAAGTGATTCTGTGAGAGGTAAATTTTTAAAAATTCTTTCCAACAAGTTCAAAACATAGATGCAGACTAAAGTTGCCAATGCATATGGATTATTTTCCCCCCTTGACATTTTCACTTTCTTTTTGCTTCTGTTAAAGTGCTTTGTTGTCACTTATCAGGACATTCCTATCTCTTTGCTCTACTATGGATTTTGCAAATCTATACCAGTATGAGGCATCTGGTTTGGATCTGCAAGAACAGCATCAATACAAAACAGAGCACACCGGTAACGTTTCTGCTATGGAATCCTTAAGCCCATCAGGATCTTCTAAAGCAGCTACAGGACGAGTACAGAGGACTGAATTTTATTAAAAAATAAAAATTTGAAAACAGGAGTAGAAGGGCAGTCATTCTTTATTTGCAGATTACAATTTGTTTTCTACTTAGTCTAGATTTTTAATAATATGTTTAAATAACCATTAATATATCCTTTTTCAAACCTGACAAGGTCTAGGCTGTCCAAAGCTTGTCTGTTCTTCACAACATTCTCAGCTGACCTAAGGAAGAAATACTGCCTCTTCCTACAAACTTTGCCTTCATTACGTCTTTGGATTATCAAATTGCAGGAACAGGGTATGTCATCAGCAATAATGTTCTTACCATTATATTCACTTTCTTTAAGAACTACTTGATCCTGAATGCGGGTTTCTTCATATTCCTTTTGAGGTGGTTCTTCAATATTTTCTTGAGTTTCTGCCATTTGGCTTGATTTGCAATTCTTGATTTTAGCAGGGAGTACCAACCAATTTCTGTGAGTTACCTCAACGATCTTTTCACACAAAAAAGGGAGCTTGCACGTCCGTATGCTGTCTAAAAGGCCAATAACCTGTGTGATGCTTTTGAAGAAATGCAAAGGACAAAGTAGCATTTCAAACACTCTGATCATACACCGTTAGTCTCAATTCTACTGTCTTTGTCACGTTCTTTACCTTTGAGGCTACACGAGTCCTTCAATTTTAGGGTAAAGGAGCTAGCAACCTCACTACTGAATTGGAGAACAGTACAGATATTTTGAGGATGTCACTAAGTGAAAACTTCCACTGGCCATGATGAGAATGTTCCCAAAGTAAAGGACAAAGGATTTGGCAAAGTGTCATTTACACAGAGTTTGCACTCTGTATAAATTACACTTTGTGGAATCCTTTGTAAAAAAATTACATGGGGAAAAAAAAATTGTTAAATATTTCATTAATGCTGGAGGTATATTTTAAAAGATGTTTGGTTCTGCGACAACGTTAGGTGATGCCTGAATAAATGCGTAAGCGCCAGAAATAAATACTTACTTTGCTAAATACACAGCGCACACACCACCCTGTTTGAGACTTGGGTGTACAACCGGCAGAGCAGACTGAGGGTTCAGCATATCCAGAACTACCTGGAAGAGAAAGATATGTACGTTTTCCCAGTACACATTAATATATAGCTATCAATTTTTTTCCCGTAACGCTTGAAAAAGCAATGTTTATCTATGGAAAATGAACGCGTGCAACAGCAGTAGGTAATCACAAAACAGTTTTATTACTGGCTCTAAAAAGGCAGCAAAACCTGAGGTGCACACATTTACAAAACAAAGTCCTTGCTACTTCCAAACTGATTTCTATTAAAACTGCAAGTAGCATTTCACCAATGCAGTAGGTCCTGTGTTAACGGTAAACCTTCTACTAATTAAATTCCATAATGTTGACATTAATAAAAACTTTTAGAAGACTACATTTACTAACACCTTTGGATATCTGGTGTTCAAATGTAAAAAAAAAAAAAATAAAAATGTTCCGGTGCATCTTTATCATGAAAAGATCAGACTACAGTCTCAATGTCTAACTTGCTGTTTGTTTCAAGATTTACCAAACTTATGTCTTTGTCAATTTATTCATCTTCTGCTAGAAAACTATTCAAACTGTAAAACAATGGGATATGCAATATCTGATCCTTCCTGTGGACTGTTATATTTAAAGCTTTAAAAATGCTATCTTTACGCTATGTATTTTACTCCTTTGCTCAAACTGTTTAACATGATTGTCATTTGTTTAAAGTGTTAACGTACGTAGTTTGTCTGCTTTACATGGCAGAGTGGTTAATGTGTAGCTGCTTTCCCCAGTACGTCTCCCTTTACAAAATCGGGATCTAAAAAGCAGAATAGGAGAGCAAGCAATAGCATTCCTTACGGTAACTTCGGCCTCAGTTACATTGTGTGTTCTATGTAGCTGATAGCAAAGTGTTTATGTATTTATATTTTCAATAAGCTTATATATTCTTCTTAAATTTAATGTTTGAAATATATGCCTTGGATACAAAAATATCCATTTCTCCAAAATACAAGACAGTAGGTTCGCCTTTCCTTACAGGACAGCAGTGATTAACTGTAGTATTTCTGTACTACAGCCATAGAGCTCTTTCATTTGGGAAACTGTAATCGAAACCTTGAAAATACTTGTAGTATGACAAAAAAAATGACAATGTTTCTTTCATTGATGAGGATTGTTTTTTCTCATGTTAAAGTAGATATGGGAATCCCACCGTGAGTGTGAGCACTAGAGGTTTTAACTAACTTAAGATAAATGTCTTGGACTTACTGCGTCAAGTGTTACTGACTCCATATCCGCAGCAGCTCTTGAAATGTCTTTGAGAATGAAATCCACATTATCTGGCCACTCTTCCATATGTCCTATTTCCCATGCATCACGCCAGTGTCTGTAATTCTTCTTTGCTAAATTATGATGATCATCTCTGATTTCATAACTTATAACACGTCCTTTGGGCCCAACTGAAAACAATCAAAAGATACTAGACTTACCACTTTCCCCCCTATAGGAAAGAATTTAGAAAAAATTAGCATAGTAAATGACAGAAGTACACCTTTAAATCTCCACTTTAGGAAATAACAACATATGAAACAATCCATTACAGATTATTTTTTCTTTACATTTAAAACAAATACAAATTTAAAACAGAAAAAAGTGCTGGGTTAGTTCTTTTACGGACTGAAATCCATTCATCCACAGATGAAATAAAGCACAGTTATAGTAGTACAAACTGTTCCAAAGATGTCCTCCCGAAGTAACTCCTGCAGCAAAAGATGACTTGAGCACCTGTGGCCCTACCCATCTATGATCCTCCCGCTACAGCTACCAGCCAAGCAAGCTGCAACGTTGGTCGCTACTCACAGGTGCTGTAAAGCTGAGACAGCAACTGCTTCTGTTAACGAGATTTGAAACTGGTGGTTTTAAATATTTTTGGCAATTCTTGTTTTTACAAAGGTTTGCTGTTTTCCATGCCCAGTTTTTTCTCTGCCTGTCCTTTCTTAGGGTTGGGGAAAGGCTGAGAAACCCCCAGACCTGCTCACTGACCTCAGCCCCTCAGAGAAATTTTCAAGCGTGCTCTTTGATTTACACAGGCTTGTGTTATTTTCCTGTTATTGTCTGTAACGGTAATAAAGTATTTTATTACTTGTTTTAAGTATAAATTTACTATCCTGAAAGTTACCACATGAGTCCAATACACAAAGTTCTTCATAAAGGAAGTGCTATGAGGAAATCCAGGCATATGCATCGCTGTATTATTCTATCCTTGTATCATGCTAATTTCTCAAACTTACCACACCTTTGGCTTCTCTTTCTCATTGTCACTTTTTAATGGGCAAAGGCAGCTTTCAGCAATCAGCAGCTCAGTGGGTGAGGTTCTCTGACTTTTTAAGCCATTTTAGGTTGGAGTGACCAAGCTCCTTCCCTCGCTTATGTGATCCCACTGTGAATCCATTCGGAAAACAGAACAAAAGCGGCAATGGGTTTCCTGGCAGTCTCTCCCTGATCCAGCTCACCCTGGATCAGACAGAGACCAGGACCAACACATAAGGAGGGAGGGTTTCAGCAGTGTCGCCTTTGAGCATCTTAAAGAATTGCAGAATTGCAGCACCAACGCAAGATTATCAGTTTGGAACTACTGGAAAATAAAATTGTTCACACTGGGGTCAGTCTTATTCTTTCCTCTGCTCATTCAAAAAATGTCCTACATTTTGAAACTGACTTCTGGAAAAATAAGGACAAGTTAAAATAGCTAGGGAAAACTCTGTCATTGTTGTGAAGCTGCAGCAAGTTTGCATACACTGTATTTTCCAGTTCTCAAATATCTTGAAGTCATGGCAAATGCCACATTCTTAACACAGTCTTAACTTTGTCCTGTTGCACGTCAGTAGTTTCTGGGAAAGACTAAAGAAGGAAGAAAAGAAAACATAAATAAGGGTAACATGGAGAGGAGATTAATGAAATCTGTTAAATCAATAAGAATTTTGCAAATTAAATACTTCCATGGACCTTGGTAATGTGTCCACTAGATTAGATGGATCTCAGCACTCTAGTTTGTACCATTCACTGAGTGCAACCATTCCTAGTTCCTCACTTTATCCTCGGCAGCATGACCTGACATCCCAGAGCAGGGCTGGATCGATGACATTGGTAACGTACTTGCTAAATACCAATTCTTCAGAAAAGCTCAGGCTTCTAAAAAGCCTTGCATTGTTACCCTGGAGCACATGCCAAGGGACAGCAGATACACGGCATTGCTACATAGGAGAGTCAGAGAAACCTAATTCACCGCCCTCAAGTTCTAAGGTTATTTACTGGACTTGACAGAAAGAGCAGCTGATCTGTCCAGTTTGTCTCCCTCACAGCAGTGTAAGAGGAAGCATCACGTCCCACAGATACTTGGCTGGCTGTGCATGGGAGTACTGAAACGTCTTCTGTCTTGAACTGTTGAATGGCACAAAGCACAACCACAACAGCAGCCCGAACCGTAAACGTTTTACAAAGACAGCATAGTCTGTAACAGTGCTTCGTAACACATCAGAAAATACTAACAAAAAAAGTTAGCATTGAGGTTCCACAGAAGCTCAGGACATGTGGACTTTTCTCAGGCTCAGTGACCACTGTGGCACCCTCAGCTATTCAGTTACTCTGACATTTGGGTGCCCACAAACCCTGCCTTTGGACATAAGCCTTCAGAATACATAACTTGTGCTTTTCTGCTCTATCAGTTCAAGATGATCCACAATGACGTTCCCGTCTTTACCCTCAAGTCCTTTAATAATGTAGGGAAGGGCAGTACTCTGCAAAAGCAGAAACACATTTTTTAAAAAAAACCCAACAATTTGAAAATCAAATTCGAACAGTGCTTTACTTTTTCAAGTGTGTGCAAAAGCAATTACAGCAAACAAATGTGGCATTTTTGGTTTGGTTTGTTTCTTTCCTTAAGGAAGCTGTTCTGTCAGGAGCCCATAAATCAAATTACTCTGAAATGTTATAAAGAGGATACCTACAGATGAGATGGAAGTTAAGGGTGAGGTTTCATCCTCACTCACACTGCTCAGTGCAAAGGCCCTCCACCGTTTAGAGCACCAAGAACTAGAACAAACCTGGCTAGCTGTAACACGAAAAAATAACAGTGTGCGTCCACATAATCACTTTCACTGGTACGCAGCAATCTGATTGTTCACATGGTCCATCAAGACGAGGAAAAGGAAACTGAGAAAGGCAAGAGATTGGAGAAAGAGCCTAGTACAGTTAAAGCCAACAATAACAATGGCTGAAACTTAGCTTTCTGCAGGACCTTTGTAAACCTTTCTACTATGTCCCTCAAAAAACAGTCAAAACAGCTTCCAGACCCTGCATTGGCTCTGGCAGGATTTTCTGCCTCTGCAGCAAAACTTTTAAGAACTGACCATAAGTATTTGGTCAAAAGAAAGGCAACATGTGACAAGGGAACTGTGCTGCTTCTATGTTTTCTAAAACCAGGTTCTCACCCGCTCTTGACAGAAACAAGCTCATCGCGCCAGACCCGCTGCCAGATTCCAAAATGGTGTCTCCTGGGTGAATATCCATCATCATTAAAATAGCACTTACATCCTGCACGTGAAAAAAACACGGCATGTTACTAGTCTTCGAAACCGAGGGTGAGATTTGGCCAGCAACCTCCCAGTCGCCAGCCAGCCCGGTGAGCAGCCAGTACCTTG